ATAGCCATGTTATGGAAATAACCAAGATGCCCCACTACTGACGAATGGATTAAAAAATGTGGTATTTATACACAATGGAATTTTACTCAGCCATGAAGAAGAATGAAATCTTAACATTCGCAAGTAAATGGATGGAACTGAAGAACATCATCCTGAGTGAGGTGAGCCAGGCTCAGAAGACCAAAAATTGTATGTTCTACCTCATATGCGGACATTAGATCTAGGGCAAATACAGCAATGTTGTTGCACTTGGGTCACATGAGAAGGGGAGAGCACATATGGGAGGTATGGGGATAGGTAGAAAACCGAAAACATGAAAGTGTTTGATGTCCCCACTCCAGAGGACCTAATACAGAAACCTTAAATCAACAGAGGTCAACATGAGAAGATGAATCAACATTTAGAGGTCAACATTTAGAGATGAATCAACTTGGGTTATAACATATTTGTACATGGAAGCAATGCTAGGAATCTCTCTGTTTAGCTGTCCTTATCTCAACTAGCAAAAACACTTATGCTTACTATGCTTATGTCTTCTCATCAACAAAATTAGAGATAAGGGCAAAACAAGTTCTGCCTAGAAGTGGGGGGGAAGGGAGGGGGGAAGGAGAAGGTGAGGGCAGGGGGACAGGGGGGGAGAAATGACCCAAACAATGTATGCACATGTGAATAAATGAATAAAAAAAAGAAAATATTTACTTAAATAAAGGTAACACAAATACTTGTTCTGCATTCTGTTGGGATATGTAAATAGGATTTATTTATTTGTTTATTGAGGCAGGGTCTTACTACATAGCCCAGGCTAGTCTCAAACTCATGATTCTCCTGCATCAGCCTCCGAAGTGCTATAATGATAGGCATGTGCCACCATCTCTGGCTTAAGTCTGATTCTCATCTGTTCTTTCTCAAAGTTTTATAAAATTCCCTTTGTCATGATAATCTTAAATCCTCAATAATATGTTTAAGTGTAATGAGCGCTCACCAGTTTATATACCCTCTTTGGTATCCCTTTGAAACTTTTTGACCTGAGAATTTTATATTTAATTCAGTACAACTTATGGTCATTATTTTTTCAAATGCTTCATTACTTCTGTATGTTCTTCCATCTTCCTGGACTTCAACCATACGGATAATTACCCTTCTATTTCTACATGTCATATTACTTTGCTTTGCTTTTACATTTCTCATCTCTTTATGCTTCATCATATCTTCTGAAAGAGTTCCTTTAGCTGACCTTCCAATTTACAAATTTACTATCAGCTGCATGCATTCTGATGCTTCATCCAGTAGCTGAGGGTCTTATTTCATCTAATTTAAATACACGTCAGAGGCCAAACAGGAATGAGACTTTTCCTCATTCAAGCCTGGGAAGATATATAGCCCAAATTTGCAAACCAGATACTCCCATCCAGGATTTGGGATCTTGGAATGATGACTCAAACAGACACATTATAGAGGCAGTGGCAACATCAAGACCACAATACTGGCAGAGGAAATGTGAGTGGTGGGGCAAGCATTGGTCCTATAGTGTGACTGCTCTATTCCCAGTTGTTTAACTACTTTTGGTTTGCATTCTGAGACTGATTCTACAGTCTTCCCACTGATTCTATGAGAAAATCAATATCCTTCCAATAAATTTATTTTCTCCCTAAGCCATATGAAGTTAGACTACATTGTTCATGACTGGTAGAACAGGTGACAGAATTTGGAATATGAGAGAAGTACAGGAGAACGGATGCAGTAGCTTCTTTCTTTGACATAGATAAGACACTGTAGATAATGTCACACATCATGGCTCAAAAGGTACAGTTGAAAACATATCACTTAAAGTTATAAAATTAATGACTGGAAGAATGATAAATAAAACTAATCAAATTTAGGAGAAAGAAATGGATTTAGAGTGAAGTGAAATAATCCTCAAACCTTGATTAATTGGATACAAAACTGCTGATCAATATTAATTAACCAAGTAACTAAAGTAAAATCTTCTTTACATTATGAAAATAACAGAAAAACTAAAGTGAAGTATGAAAGATGACTGCATGTAGGCAACAGGACGAATCACCATGAGATGGAAAAATGCTACTGTTCATTTTCTACCTTTCTTTACTATTTGAGTCATTTTTAGTCATGCTCATATGCATTTTTATCACTTCAAATCTCTAGACTACATCATCATAGCATAACACAGGTAGCTACTGACACACACACACATGGACTCAGCTGCAATTCTGAGAATGCAAACTACAAAAGATTTAATTACATAGAAATCAATTCAAGAGCACAGATTTGCAACCAGATTTGTTTTCTTACTAAAACACAAAGCAGTCTTGCACCTGTCTTAAGCTAATCATTTACAGAAGGAAATCAAATCCCAAAAGATACTTGGGAAACCACAAGATTTTTCCCATCTTAATGAAGGCATAATTTGATGAATAAAAATTGTACATACTTACAACATGTAATGTAACATTTTAATATATGTATGTATTGTGAAATGATTTCCACAATCAAGTGAATTAATGTGAATCCATCACCTCACATAATTATGTCTTTTTTGGTGTTAAAAACAACTAAGATCTATTCTCTTAGCCAATTTCAAGTGTGTAGTAGAACATTCTTAGCTGCAGTTGCTATGCTGTATTTTAGTTGTCAAGAACTTATTCACCATGCCTAACTGAAACTTTGTGGCCTTTGATAAACATCTTTCTACTTTACCCACCCTCCCGTTTTCTGGAAACCACCATTGTACTCTCTGCTTCTAGGAATTCAACTTTTCAAATTCTTTGTATCAGTGAGGTCATGCAATGTTCATTTTTCTACACCCAGACTATTTTGCCTAGCATAATCCTCAAGATTCAGTCTTGTTTTCACAAATAACAGGATTTTCCTCTTTTTCAAATTGAATAATATTCAATTGTGTTTTTATATTTTCTTAATCCATTTATGCATATCTTGGCTGTGTTATGTCCCTAAAAAGAATAAATCATAGAAACTTTGATCTTTTATGATTTCTTAGCTTCCAGGCACACCAACAACACCAAGTTTAAAATAGTAGTTGTCATTTTATGTGTTTAAAAATATTCATAAACTTGCATCCCATAGACCAATCCTAATATGATGTCTTCAAGTATGAAAATGACCTACTTAAAAGCTCATAGGAAAGAACACAAAACTTTGAGTCAAAAAATTGGGACTGTTTCATTTTAAGCAAATCATTACACCAGTTTTGTCACCTATAAAATGAGGAGAGAAGTACTACCATTCTATTAAGTCAAATGAGATATAACATACTACATATAAGAAGTCCTGATAAAATGTAAAGTGCAATACTCATGTTGGAAAATGATACTGTCATTATTACAATTGGTCACAAAGTACATCCATATAAAATAGAAATGTCATAATGAACATCATCCTACTACTAAAAATATAACAAGAAGAAGCACTAAGCACTTTTTATTTAACAAGAATGGATGTCATTCCCAGGACATGAAAGATGGTACCTGGTCTCATATAATTCAGTGATACCAGCAGAAGAGCCAGTCCTCCCCTGGAAGAAGACTAACATCCACATGTGCTTTGCATATGCCTATTCATAGATTTAGGAAAGGAAAAGATAGGTTTTAGAGAGAATACATTTATTAAAAGATGAGCGTGGTCGATAAATGGAAAAATATTTTTGGGTGGCCAGGTGTGATGTTTCATACCTATAATCCAAGTACCCAGGAGGCTGAGGTAGGAGCATAGCAATCTTTAAGACAGCCTAAGATACACAGTGAGACCTTGTATCAAACCCCAATACCCCCAAAAAATGTTTGGGGATATCAAGTATTGACCTTTGGATTCCAGATCTCCTTGAACTTAACCAAAAGAAGTAAGTTCAAACAAGAAGAAAAAGGCTAAGAAAGTGCATAGGAAGAGGAATATGATTCCAAGGAGGGAAGGGCAAAACTGGCCCTGTTGGAGGGTAGCATGATAGCAAGAAAAGAGCACTGGACCAAAGCCAGGAAAGAGCAATGGTCACAGCTCTACCACTGGCTCTCCGTGAAACCCAAGGCAGGCCACTGCCCCTCTGGGCCTCAATTTCTTAATCTATGATTCAGAAGAGTTGTAAGACTAGTGAACACAACTAATCAATCACTTACAAATATTCATTAGTTATTTATTATGCTGGGTAGTGCTCCAGTCACCAGGGACATTGGAAAGAACAAAAACAGACATAGTCTCTGCTGCCATGGATTTGACATTTCAGATGATCTCCATCTAACTCAAAGTCCTGGCACACTAAAGCACTAACTCTGGCTGTAGAGAGCCCAGAGTGGACAATCGGGACAGCTAAGTGACCAAAGAGGAAAAGGCATGAGCCCTTAATGAGCAAGTTCTTTATGAGCAAAAGCAAGTGCCCCTCAAACCCATTTGATTCACTCCAAGTGCTGAACACTGGAGCTTAACTTAGATCATTGTGGCCAACTGACTTTTACCCTGAAAGGTAAATCTAGGGCCCAAAGAAACATCCAGATATAAAGATGTTTTGTTTTGTTTTTCAATTAGATAACTAGATCTCCTACAGTGGAGAAACAGAACAATTTCATACTTTAAAAAACTTATCTAAAATGACTAACATTAATGAAGAGACAAATTTTCATAAAAATTAATGATTACATTAATTGTTCCTAATCTGTATTTTTCTGTAATAGAAAAAACACAGTGTAACATAAAAAAATAAATGAAATGAATATTTGTTACATAGAGATAGAATAAAACACCTCTTCCAGCAAACATAAAATCCCATCGTGATTTCTGTAATACATTGAAACAATTCACTTTGCATTGCAATGAGAAATAATATTGGTTTTTATTCTGTATTTTCTGTGGCCCATTCATTAAATTGGTGTCAAAAAATAAAAATCTTAAAATACATAAAAGTCAGCTCCCTTATAGAAAGCTATCAAAGGAATGTCTCCAAAGAATATTCTAACCCCACCTTTCTCTCCAGATCATGGGCCCCGGCTTCTCCAAGCACACACTGTCCTCCAGAGGGTTCTCTGACAAGTCTGCTTCACCCTAGGAATTCCCATGATCAATATGACAGAATGAAGAGAAGGATGGGCAGCCATGAGTGTGTCAGAGATTAAGACCCTGGTGAGAGCTGCGGGAGAATGCTTGGAGGTGAGGGAGCAGGGACTAGCTATGACATAAACCAGGTGAAGTATAAGGAAGCACCCCAAAGACTTCAGGGCAGTGTTGTGAGCCTGTGCCCAAGCATCTCTTCTATCAGCTATATGGACATTCATCTTCCTGTGGTGTCTATACAAAGAGACAATCAACATCGAAGAGGAAGCAAGAAGCACCATGAAAGGCAACCAATTTTCTGAAGTGAGATGAAATATAGAATTATCATGCCAGCTTGAAAGGAGGTTTGGAATGCTGCTGTTCCTATGGGAAAGATGGTAGGAATTTAAACCAGTGTTGAATATAAATAGCAAATTCATTATACAGTGTCCCAGCAGCCACCAGAGACTCAAGCTATAGGCTCTCTGCTTCAGCCACAAATAAACGGGGTGTTTAAAGGTTGTGGTCTTCTTACAATAGAATACACTGAGGAAAGCAGCACACCACAGACTGGCCTAACCATGGCCCAGGAAACATTGAGACAGTGAAGCCAAAGAGAGTTTTGGAAAAATGAAAGCAGACTGAAGTCCAACATCATCAGCCACTGAAGAGAAACCGGCAGCCATCAGGCCTAGGACAATGAGGTTATATGAGGATCACTTGACTTTTTTGATCCATTCTCCAAAACTCCAGACCACATGGACTCCATTTGCAATCAAACCAGTAAGAAATTCAGCTACTGCTACAGGCATCAGCAGTCCCAGGGTGGTGGAGAACATGGCTGAGAAGGGAAGTTTCTCTCTGCTGTCCCAGGAAGGGTACTGGTTTGGTACTGATCAATTTGTATGGTTTCCAGCTGAGGTCAGATTCCCTCATATGATATCACATCCAGAGTAAATTTTCCCACCACAAAATCTGAGTTAAGACTTGCCCTTCTGTAACCTGTCCTAAAGCAGAAACTGAAAAGCTGTGACCAGGAACAGAAAGTTTAGAAGTTATGATGAACCTCTCTGTTATTTGCATCTGTACAAATGAACCCTGAAACTTGATTCAGAGACTGGAAACAGTTCCAAAGACAAAGATCATGGGCTATAATACAAGGAGAACTCTCAAAAAAGACAGATCAAATCAAAGCATTCTTAAGTTCTATAGAGTGCCAGATGTGAGCTCATGTGCTGTTTTTAAAAGTATTATTTCCATAAAAAGAACATTGAGGGCTGGCAGAGTGGCTCAAGTGGTAAGAGCACCTGCCTAGCAAACATGAGGATCTGAGTTTAAGCCCCAAAGCCACCAAAATAAATAAATAAATAAATGAAACTAGTAAAAAGAACATCGAACATGTTAAGTATGAAAGCTGAATAACTTTGACATTAAAAATAGATTTCATTATCAAAGGGAGAAGTAAGGAAAGTTTGAGGGAAGGAAACAATCAGAACACAAACACATATTGTATTTAAGTGCCAAGCAATAAAAAAAAAAAAAAAAAAACAGGTCAAGTAAAGGAGCCATTATTGTCCACTGTTGTCTCCAAAGCCATCTGCCCTTTATGGCCAATTATCCACACATACTTGCCTTAGCTTGTATTTCACATATACCTCAAAGGAAAGAGATGAGCTCAAAGAACTGAAAAACAGAAATGTAATAAAAGTGCTGAATTCTAAGATGATGCCTAAGGTTCCTGTCTCCTCGTGTACACACACTGAATAATCCTTGGGCATGGCTAGGACTGTGAACGAGATGTCAATTCTGTGATGAGCAAAGGTGAAGAGCTTTTGCAAATATAATTAATGTCTCAGGTAAGTCAATTATGAGTTAATCAAAAGGGACACTATCCTGGTATGCCTGAGTTAATCAACTAAAAACTTTGAAAAGGGGACTGGTCCTTTCTTGTTTCTTTTTGCCTTTTTGCTAAGGAGAAAGATCTTCCTGATGACCTTTAAGAATCTAACTACCATGAAGTGAGAAGGCCCAAGATAGGAATGTCTGTAAGTTTCTAGATTCTGAGTGGCCACTGGCTACATGGGACCTTGGTTCCATGACCACAAGAAATCAAATTCTGCCAATAACATTTGATCTTGGAAGGAAATGCCAAACCAAAAAGGAATGAAGTCCAGCCAACACCTTTCTTTATTTTTTCCCCCAAGAAATTGAATGTAGGCCCACTGCATGTTAGGCAAGACTTCTACCACTGAGCTACAACCCTATACGTTGGTTTGTTGTTGTTGTTTTTGAGGTAGGGCCTTACCATGTAGCTTAGATTGGTCTGGAACTCACTATGTAGGCCAGGATGGCTTCAAACATGCAATCCTCCTGCCTCGGCCTCCTGAGTACTGGTATTACAGGCATGCATCACCATGCCTAGCCCAGCCAACATCTGGATCAGACTATAACACCTTGAACAGAGGACTCAATTAAGCTATGCCCAAACTCTGATCCACCAAAACTGTGACATAATAAATGTATATTGTCTTAACCTGAGTAGTTTGTGTTCCTAACAGGAAATAGAAAACTATACAGTGTCCAAACAAGCTGAAGAAATGTGAGGAAAGAGCAATTGGATTAGAAAGAAGTAGAAAGGACAGGCTAGTTTCTTAAGAAGGGAGCATAAGTGTGGAAGAAAGAGTACTGTACCAGGAGCCAGGAACTCTGGAGTCTGTCTGTTCCCAGTATTGCCATGGGCTCTCTAGAAGTTTTGGGAAGGCCACTACGCCCCCTCTGGACCTCTGTTGCTCTACAAATAACACAGTAGGATTATTGGACTTGATTTCCATTCCTTCAGGAAATATTCAGAGTAGTTACAATATACCAACCTACAGTGTGCAAGGCACAACAGACAGAGCAATGAACAATACATGGTTCTGGTTTCCAGGAAGTGGCTGCAGGCTGTGGAGAGGGACAGGAGAAGGTCACCATCTTCTACTTGCACCTGGATAAAGCTTTAACTAGCCTGAAGCAATGTTTCTTTGCAACTTGTCAATAGAGATATAAATGCTCCTCTCTCTCTACTATGGTCTAGGTAGTGGAAATTCTTACAGATTGTGGTAGTTGTAGCCAACTGCTATGACTCCAGAAGGGCTAGTCTGGCCACAAGAAAAAAGAAAAAAAAACCCAGAAATGTAGAAAACAACTTCTAATGTCAAGAAAAGCTAAACCACACAGTGATCTGAGATAATCATTTAATTTCACTAAGAAAAATGCTTGCCTAGAAAATATCCAACAATTGCTGTTCATATTTTTAGAATACATATATTTTAAAATAGTTTTAAATGATAGCTATTTCTACTTCTTATCAGGGAGACATTATCAGTGCATTGGCAAGGAACAATCAATTATCTACAGAAATTTAGAAAAATGTGATACTTTCTATGCAAAACATAAAAACCCAGTTTTGCCTTCTGCAGTTCATGAAAATAATGCACTTTGCATTGCTTACAGAGCAATGGCTCTGATTTCCATCCTATTTTTCATGTTACCTTCTCATTTTGTTTCAAAATCAAAGAAGAAATGAGAATAAAGAATAAGTAAGTTTAGTTAAAACTTCAATTTTACCATTGTCAATTACCCATTTAAGGGCTTGACTAGATCTGTCTCCCATGCCATGACCTATAGAACCTCCAAGAACACAACATCTTCCACAGAATCTCAGAAAATTTTGAGTCCTCATTCCAGTTGGTGTGGAATGGAGAGAAGTCTAGCCTGCAGTGTTGCAGAGTAGAGACAATGGTAACCTCCAAGATGGGACATTTAGAGGTGGTGGAAAAGGAACTAGCCAACTCATAAGCCATCTCAAGGAGGAACTTCACAGAAATCCCACCATGGCTGGAACACCTGATAGCTTTGTGCTTCTTCATCTTCCTCTGATGTCTGTACAAAAAAACAATCAGGAGGAATGTTCTAGCAAAATGGCTGACTAGCGACATCAGACATACCCACATATTCAACACAAAGAAGGATCAACAACAAATAGCTGCTATCCAGCTAGAACATTTGGGGAGAGCACTGGAATACTACACATATGAAATAAGGAAACTGTGGAATAGAGACTCCAGATGGTCTGGTAAAGACGGCAGCAGAGTGCCTTGCATCAACTGCCCTACTGCCTCAGTCAGGACCAGTTTGAACCTGGAAAAGTCTCCCATGATAGGGAAAAGATAAACAGGAGGCATTGTTACCATGGACACCTAAAGCTTTAGCTCCTGGGGAACCCTGCAGCTCCTGTAGGCCCCAAGCCCAGTTGGGGAATTGTTGAGGATTATACACAGTTGTGCCGTTTCAGAGGTGGAACCCATTCAGGCTATTGTTGCATAGTGTTATTTTGAAACCAAAGCCAACCAGACCCCATAACTGCTGCCATGTGTCCTAGACCACTGAAGTGCTTCACCTCCATCCAGCCTGCAGAGAGTGACAGGCGTCACCACACTGCACAAGCCCTGTGTCACTGCTGACATGGAAGATGCATCCCACCTGCTCAAGGGCCACATGAGTTACCCAACACGCAGCCGGTGGAGAACCTAAAGCACAGTTTCCCAAAACCTCACTTCCACCCTAAGTAGCTCCACAAAACCCAATACAATATCCAGATAATGTAAGCAGTGGCAACTGCAAGGAACTCATATTGTATAAAGGGAAAAATACATTTATCAATTACCTGACAAATACCATGTGCCAGACTCCTGCTCCAGGCTCTTGGGATACAGGGTGAAGGAAACCAAGTCCCTTCTCTCATGGAGTTTACATTCTGGTGGGTGGGTAAATAATAATTTTAAAATGTTTGTAACCTGAACATATAAATAGCTGTATTTTTATCTACACAAAGCCTATTTTCAATGACAGGGAAAACAAAAGAAAGGACATGGTGAGAAAATAAGCAAAAACAAACAAAGACAGAATAAATATTAACTGCTGAGTAGTAAGTTCTAGAAGTGAGGCAGAAGAGAAACCTGTGAGCTACAACTGATACTTCATATCAACACAGAATTTCTCAGCATGTCAGTCCCCAAACCAAGAATTGCCATTCAGGAACCTCTGTGGCAAGTTATAGCCTCAATCTCTCTAGTTTGCCAGAGAAACCCTTGGTTTTTACTATTGACATAACTGGAATGTATCTATCATAGTATTACCACAACTGTTTTTACCAAAGTCCCTTCTATTCAAACATCTACATTCCACTGCTCAGAGCCCTCAGACATTTTCATAGTACCGGAACTAAGATGAGAAAGCCAATGAAAGATCAAGAGGAATACAACCATCAGAAGAGACCCTCAGAAGTGCAAAGTATGGCTTTGTACTCAGTATCAACAGGGCAGTCTGTCCTATATGGAAAAAGAATGCTGACAGGAAAGAAGCAGCAATCACTGGTTTCAAAATCCAAACACTTTCACATGAATTATACCATGCTGCCATTGCCAAACTAAGTACAGCTCCATCCTCTGTTCTACAACCAACATATCTTGGCCACTCCTAAGCATTTCCTATTCTTATTTTCAAGCAGCCTTTTTAAAGGCTTCCTAGGATTATGCTTACCTGACCAGTAGGTGGCGGAGAGGCAATTGTTCTGCAGCTGCTGTTGAGTGAACTAAGTCTAAATGAGCTGTGTTAGTCCAGACATTCAGAAATTGAGCAGATTGAGTGCATTGCTAATAACAAGTTTTGTTAACTGTAACAACAACAAAAATTATAAATGTACACATATTCGTAGTTGTTCCAGCTTCTTTCCGACCGCCTTGGGAAAGGGAGGGGCTCTTGCTCACTGGTCAGTACCCCTTTCTTCATAAAGGAA